GTCTCCTCGGAACAGCCTGACTGGAGCGATGCCCCCACTCACATAAATAAGGGACGCTTGCACAACATGGTAGAGCATTAAGGCCTATCAGCATAATTTCAAAACAGACAGGTAAAGCACACATTGCATGTATTTTTCTAAACTGTATACAAATAAATGAGATTTTCATTTACATTTTAAATACCAGCAGGTATGGTTTCTCAAATTATGTTGTTTCAGAAGTGCTAGCATATATGCCAGTTTTAAAATATTTCAATGTTTACAGTAACTTAATGCAACAGAGAGGTGGCATTCCGTTTTTACTGTGGTGTTTTGTGCTGAACATGCATCACTGACTATTTTTCATTGTTTAAGATAGTGGAAAAGAGAACCCCACATGGTAGCACAAAAAGTTGCTACGTTAGGAAATAGTCTGTAAAACTGCAGTCCATCTAATGCAGGTAACCAGCAAACACAACAGGACTCCCACTCTCATTCTAGCTGATGGCAATTTACTACCTCCTCTGCTTAATTTGGAAATTCAGTGGGTAACGTGGGCGCTTCTGCTTTGCAAAACCAGGCCCTAGGGTTTTTTATGTAATTGCAGAAACACAAGTTTGATAGGCACCCACCTGTACCTAGTAACATCATGTAAGATGCACTTTGCAAAGCTGAGCATACAATGCAGTGTTTAACAGCATATAAAAAAGCAGCAAAGCAGTATTAGTGTCATTTACAGATACTGGGGACATCTCCCTTTTAAGTTTCTCTTCATTAATACTGTTACTGCATAAGAAGCCACACACAGACACACAAATGAGCTGACTGCTCGCCAAAGTGCACAACCTTCTACCAGAACTTAGCGAACAGGATTGACTGTTGTCCTAAGACACAGGAAAACTGCAGATGTTAATAATGTACTTCTTACTCCACTCCGTGGTCAGCAATGCATTGAAAACTCCCAGCTTTCCTGTCGTTTTGCCCCAGGCTCTCTACAGTAGTAGAGAGTCATACAATCTATTAAATCCTTCTTCCACTCATTTCCAAGTGACAAGTTTTCGGCACTTACGTTAGCGGCAGATTAGGCAATAGTTAGACCTCCCTTTTGTTGTGCCTTCTAGTGGTGCACAAGCATGTGGAGAAGTTGAAGTAGTTCACCTGGGGACGTGAAAATACTAGAAGTAATTTTGAGATTACAAATGTTAATGATGATCAAGGAAAACAAAGTTTAGGAAATGGATTTTTACTCCCTGGTTTACTTCAGTCTGCTGTAGATTCCCCAAAGCAGAGCTGTGAAGTATTTCAAACTACTAATTACTGTCAGGTTCACTGCAGTGCCAGGGACACAACTAAAAAGACTCCAGTAAATGACAGTGAGACTGGACTAACAGGAGTGACCAGATGTTTTCTTCCCCCACCCCCCCTTTTTTAAAAAAAAAACATATTGCACAAGAGTCCAAGAAATATTTATACATAAATGCTGTCCTGTAAGGTTGCCAAGGTCAGTATATGCCATAGTGATTGCCTTGGCAAGCTGAAGTGTCTTGGGCCTCTTGAAATCTATCCAAATATTTCACCTCTCACTAGAAAATCTACCTGGAAGGCTGGCTGTGCTACTAAGCACGTCGGCAGATACTTAACAGGTAAAACTTAGGAGCCTCAAATGAAACAAAGCAGTACCGAGGTTTTACTCCACTCTTGGGTGCCTACTGAGGACACTCCTAGGTGTGCTCCACAGGTTGGAACCAAACTCATTCAGCCAGATACCTACAGTATTTGTCCAGGATAAGTGGTTTTGAGACATGCAAATTTTTACAATTTTATCATTTTTTGTTATTAATACTTTTTCATATCTTAAATATAAATCCTTGTCTGTAAAGAAAATAATTCAAAGCTTCCGTCCTCTAAAATTTAAAAATGGAAACTTGACAGGTAGCCCACTACAGACAGATTTTATATTTATAAATTGGCAGGGCAACAGTGGGACTGAAAAAAAACCCAAAGAAGTGAGAATATGATGGTATTTCACAAGAAAGAAATACCAGATTTGGAAAAAAGGTTGACGTTTCTATCTATGTGCTCCTGTTTAACCAGTATCTGTTCAAACCATACAGTTAGGCAAAAGGTGTGCCCATCCCTGTGTGTGCTGTCAGTTAAGGGACAGCATCACAGCATAAATTCAGTTTCTCTCTATTAAAAAACGCTCTCCCCTAGAGGGCAGCATTAAATCAGCATTCAGTGCCGGGAAACCTAAGCGCTAATGCTCCTTTATAATAGGTACTGAATTCACAGGCGAAGAAGGCACAGTTGTGTTGACCAAGGATGGTTATTTATCATTACGATAAAGCTGCAAATTTCTGGCATCTTAAAATTTTAATTAAGCTATGCATTACAGATGGGCGAGTTCTTTCATCCTGGCCCAAGAGTCCGCTATATTTGGCTGATTGCGAATCCACTGCTACCTATAAAAATCCACAGATAAACGCTGCAGACTGCATCCTTGCTGGTGCGATCTCCTTCAGAGCTCTCGCAGCCAAGGCAGCTGTGCTCAGTGGCAGCAGCTGAAGCGGGATGCTGAGCTTCCTGGGCAGCGGGTTACTACAACAACCTTAAAACCAGGGGTCAAACCAGGGGTTGTTCTCCACAGAATACCTGTCATCACTGCATAGGATGCCTTGCACTGCTGAAACCTCACACGTGTTTTGCTGGTTTGCTTAAGAATTTCAAATGCTGAATTGATGAAATTACAGAAGACAAAAGCTCACCTAAATATTTCATCTATTGGTTTCCTAAAGACACATCAAAAAGTCTCTTAGAGGAAAAATTTTTATATACACAGCAAGCGTTTGAAGCAGTGTATACAAGAAAGGCATTTTCCCCTATGAGAATAAAACAAAGCATGTGGCAATGTCTTGATTTAAAAAAACAAAAAAACCAAACCAAAACAAAAAACCCGAAACCTAAAATCCCAATGCATTAAGGCTTGGAAACAGTTTCCGTCTGGAGTCAGACCAGGTTTTCTCTGCCACCTGTTTCATAACCCAGAGAAATATTCCTGAATTCACTGGCCGAGACCACAATTCTGCTGCAAAACTGATGAATGTTACCTGCCCCCATCAGCAGAGGCCGAATCCCGGGGCTCCCGTGCTGGCGAGGGGCCTCTCCGGAGCCGCCGGCACGCTTTCAGCGCCGGGCTGGAGTTACGGACGGGGGTTATTTGGCTGCTCCTTTACCCCAAAATCCATTCCCCCATTTTTAGGGGTTTCAACTGAGTTCTTGTGCCCTTAGGACTCAGTCTGGGAACTCTGCTTCCAAAGTGGATTAGACTACAGTATGTCGGAGAGAAGACATTGGTAGTAATGGAAAGATGCTCATTAGCTACAGTTTTAAATAGAGGAAATCTTAAAGAAAGTGGCTTTTTCTCTGCTCTCAGGCAGCAGGCAAGTGTGATTATCTTAACATAATGGACATCACCGTGCTTTTATGGCAGGTTGAATTAGACTAATGAGTTTTGTTTTGTAAGCTAGAAAACAAAGATAAAACATAAATTTGGCTGGACTTCAGAGTCCCCCAAGATCCGTAACTTCAGTCTGCTAACCAAAATGTCTGTTGAGGAATCCATGAAGCTAATGTACTCAGTATATTAGTGATCAAGATAAATCCGTTGCTCGGTCTCAGGCTGACCTACATTTCATAAGCATTAGCAGCCTCCCTGTCAGTCATCTTTATTGCTGCTGACATCGAGTGGTAACGTTTAGCTGCATTTCTGAATTCCTGTAAAACAATCTTGCATTCTCTCAAACCAGAGCAGGGTGGGGGAAGGAGGTCTACTGGGGAAAAAACACACTACGCTTGGTGAGAGGCTGAGTTAACTACCGAGTTTAGAGCGAGACTGCCAGTACTACCTCTGAGTAAAAATCTATCTTGCGAGCAATTTGCAAACTCAAAATATTCCGAAAGACCCACATAAACATTTTCATATGTAAGGAGAAAATAATTAACCAATGTGGCATAAATTTGCTGAGCAAAGCACAGCTTTTTTTTAACTTTTCCCAAGAAGATCATGACTGCTCTGAAACAGTTCAGCATTTAACAACCTACTCTTCTAAATACGCATGTGTGGAAAGCACATGGAAGTCTAAACAGATTTCCTCTCAGACTGTGCAATCGTACAGCATCAGCAGCTCCCTTAGCTGCACGATGCGATCGATAAGAACACCGAGTTCAGAATAGAAAGGCCAAATGCACCGAGCCCAGCCGAGGACCGGGAAGGACTGCAAGCGCAGGTCGTGACCGCAGCGGCCTCGCCCAGGGATCCGTACCTCGCTCTGCTCCCGGGAGCTCTGCCTTCCACAGGTCTCGGCTGCTTAGGTGACGGAAGGGCTTGGTAGGGTAGACGTACCGCCAGCAGGTCCTCAGAGATCTGCTGGTTAGAGTTCCTCGTAGGTGAAGCGGCACAAGGTGCCGTATACAGCGGGCTCCGTACCTGGCAGCATTTCTCATGGAAATGGGAGCGGCCGGAGTCCGGAGGAGCTGCTGGCACGGGGGCTGCCGGTCTGCACGCCCGCCGCGAGTCCGACCGCCCCCGCCCGCCAAGCTTGCCGCGGGTGCGTAGATGGATCTCCTTTGTACGTGCTGGGCTTGCCGTATTTGGGATGCAGAACAAACCAATTTGCCTGGGAATTTTCAAAGGCGATCACTGAAGGGTTTGGCAGCTGAGGCTGCAGAGCTGACACGTGGTACGGATACCAGCCACCATCCCGTGCGAGGAGGGCGATTTTAGCCTTCCTCCCTGGCTGGCATGGAAACACTGTGAGTGGTCAGGCTGTACCTCGGGGCCAGGGAACAACAACCCAGTGAAGAGGTTTAGCTGATTCAAAATGAGCTCTCTTCCTCCGTTACAAACGTGTTGGGTTCTGCGGCAGCAGAGGCTCTGTGTTGGGAGGGGGACGGCTGCCATGCAGAGCGGATAGAGCAATAGGTAAAGCACTGTTCTGGTATTCTGTATCAATGTTTTGCAGGCCTGGCAGTGGTCACAGTTGATGCCTACAAGCACTGGATATTCCACAAGTTGAAGACGGAATACTGACTTGTTTACCTGAAGATAATAGGACTTCGGGGTATTTCCTCAGAGAAAATATAAATTTTAATATAATTTCATAAGCTTTGGAGGTTAGCTTGTCTTGTAGCTTCAGTGATACCAAACTTCTTCAAGTAGGAGCTAGATAGAAAGCTGTTTAGTTTTTGCCAGCGTATGTACAACAAGACTTTTCTATCTGCATTGTAGATTGTTTGTGGACACTTCCAGATTCTTGTGCTTTCTGCAGTCATTCTGGGGACTGAGCTCTCATTGATATCAATAGAGGTTCCATGAACAGGACACGTGCAGGAATTTGAGTGTAGAAGCCCACAGTGTGGTTTGGAGTAGTGAATTGCTTTTAGTTTGGAGCTGACGGGGGGAGATGGGAAGAGCAACTGTACATTAAGGGAACAATTACAGATCTTCTTCCCAGTGACATCAGTGAGAGATTTGCCTTGTACTTTCCACAGAAGAAGATTTTTAGCTTTAATTTGGGACAGTAAAGGGGTTTTTCAAAAGCACTATGAAAGCCAGTGGGAGCTTGTCCAGCTGCTCCTTATGCCTTTAAAAACCCCTACACCAAAAGTGATAGCTAACAACATGAAATGGAAGTAAATAAAATGCATTTTCATTGCTGTTTTGAGTTACATAATTCTTGTTTCTTGATTTGTTAGTTGATCTGAATTTACATGGATTTAATCTATATGATGACCAAGAAAATGGTCAGTAACTGATAAAGCTGCAAAGCATAGCCACAAAGCAAGCAGTGTGTAGGTCGAGACCCTGAGCAGCTAACAAAAGTTCACTGACTATTGTTTTAAGTCTTCTCTGTCCACATCTACCGAGCTAGATGGCCGTTTCAGAATTGACCAGCAGATGACAAATTCACCCAGCTGACTAAAAGGGTAAGCTCAAGGACACCTAGAACCTAGTCACAGATCTCACAGGCATCAGTCAGACGTCACTCTACCTGTACGGAGCACTGAGCGTGTTCCTACTGTTCTTCAGAACGTCGGAGCGAGAGCTGCCTTAGCACTAGGTCAGCTTGTGCAGGGCGGATTGCTCCTGGGCAGTCGCATCCCTCTCTCAAATCCTCTCTGGCAGTAGCTGCCCTAAGAGATGCAGTGGAACAAGGATCTAACGGAGGATCTGAATCTACTCAATGCACCAAAAATGACTCCCTCCTTTCTGTATTCTCTAAGATCAAGGCCACAACGAGCCCTGATCCCAACTGATTTGATATTTTGGTCAGGCTCTTCATTTCAGCTAAGACTCCTGCACAGAGCCTAGCAACTTGTGTTGGGCTGAAGTATTTCCTCCAGAAACGATCTGTTAAATCGAAAAGGCATTAAAGTGATAGGGATTACATCACTAGTCTGGTTAGGATTAACCAGTCTCACCATTAAAAATCCATGGCTTACTTTATTTCATTTTCTGTAGCTCCAGCTTCCACCCATCGGATGGATATTTGTATATCTTTCTTTGTTCACTGTAAGAACTTGTTAATATAAAGTATCTCCTCCCTGTAAAGCAATCTGATTGCCTCTTGATCTTCACTGCAAGCTGAACACACTCGGCTGTAAGCCATTTTCTTCCTCCCTGAAATAATGTTTGGTGGCTCCTTACTGCACAATCTCTGTTTTTTCAACATCTGTAAAAGTATAAACTGTGGAATAGTTTGCACAGGTTTAACTGATCTCACTTGATGCTGTATGCAGGTATCAAAATCCTGATCCTCCTTTTATTCTCCTCTGCATGGGCTGTGCCTGAGATGAGATAATTTAAAGAAACACATCAAAAAAGGGGGCAGAAGAGAACAAGAGGAGTGTTCAGAGTTTACAATTAAAACCACGTAAACCAAGAAAAATCAAACACAAATGAACCCTACAAACGAAGACAATTAAATACTCCAAACTCCCAAGTCTGGGGAACCCCAACAGCAACGTTACATGCTCCGCTGTGTAGGACAGGACTTCAGCAGAGCCCTCCCTGTCCTGCAGCCCTCTACGCTGAAAATATTGCTAGGTTTTTGTGTCCTGAAATTTTGCAGTGGAGGTTTCTTGGGGAATCCGGATTCCGCAGTAACAAAGCGCTTGCACATCTTCAGCCGCAGACTCCAGAACAGGACCCAGAGGGGCTTCCTCTTGAGAAAAAAAAAAAAAGCTTTTCTTGATAGTAGGGGAAAAACCCACCACAGGTAGTCAGGGTGGTTGTGTTTAGCCAAAGATCTGCTGTTTCCATCGTGTCAGCAGCAGGTAGCAATGAATGGAGCTTGGCTTTGTTTCCTCTGCAGGCTGCAAGTCCTTCTCTCGTTTGACCAGACGCTGTACAGCAGCTTCTTTCGCTTCTAGGGCTGCGTCCTTTTTTTTGTCTTTGTTTTCAGCCAGGTTTTTTCACCCTTTTCACGTGCATGTGCAATGCAAATACAGAGTTGAGAGCCCAAGTAGGGTAGGGATTTCTCCCTCCTTCATGCGATAAGGCACGCCAGGCAACACGCCGTCTCAGTGCTGTTAGTTCACGCAGCGACACCAGCAGTGAATACTGTTCATTCCCACCTTTATCAAATCCTGACGTTACCATGTGCATCTTACGGGTTTGCGAGCTTTACAGTATTTTCAAAGTCCGTAAATGACAGAATCCAGTATAAAAAAAGGTCAATATATTACTGTTGAAAGGGTTTTTTTTTCCTTTTTTTATACAAAAATTAAAAAGATTCAAATATATCACATTATTTACATATTGTGCTTCATGCTTAGAGATCACTGAAAAAGAACACACAGACAAATATTTGAATCAAAGAGAAATGCTCCATTCGTTACACTTACTAATCTTACTGTTAATATTATAAGGATTGGCATTCAGATTTCTTTTAATATTAACAGCGCATCCAAACGACTTGCCACAGAATTAAAAAGCCCCCTGAGCTAAGGGCGTGCTCACATGCTAACCGAGGGTTTGCAACCAGTTAGTAACGTGCTCGCTATTAACTCGAGCTGCGTCCACATGCCGCATGTCTGAAACTGGGTTAGCAGTTCTGCTCAGCTCCAGTGCCCTGCCCTGGCTGGGATTACAGCATCCTCCCACCAGCCTGGGCCGAACGCTCATCTTGTGGGGGGACACAGCTCTCCTCGGCCTCCCGCGCTGCCTTGAGCACTTACAAAGCCCTGGCTGTTCTGGGAGCGTGCGATGGTCTGAATTACCTGACCACCCGCACCCAGGTCTTTTTGATTCCAGTGCCGAAGCAGCGTACTGGTTGTGGATTATAGCAACAACGGCAGAAAAGTCTTTCATTGAAAATGAATGTTTTGTAACTCTGAGAAAGGGGTAACCCACTGCAGAAGTCTCAGCAGGAGGGCACGGGCCACGTCACACCAGCACGGTTTGCAGAGGGCTGCAGCCTTTGCACGAGTGGTGCCTAAACTGCCTGGGCCACACTAACAGCCGGGCCTGAGCAAGCCTGACAAAAAACATTGCCACCACCAGGATTAACGAGAACAATTTCTCACGCTTCGCCAGTTTGTGGCGTTCCTAGCCCCAGTCTGCAGCTGTGGGGAACGAGGCGTGAAGCTGGATGGAACCCCAGCGTGGCGTTACGGATAACCCGCTGCCTCAAGGCAGCGCGGTCCCTGCAGCTAGCGACATCGCTCAGGACCTGCGCAAGGCTGTACAGTTGTTGTTATTGTTACTGTACCTTGTGCCAACATCCTGCTACTGGCAGTCCATCTGGTCCCTGCAAAATTGAATTGACAGATTTAATTTCTGTTGACGATGACTGAAGTGTCAGCCCCC